CTTTGTGTATTGTCTTGACTCTACTTATGTTTACTAGTCCTACCCTTAGCAGCGTTGCTGTAGCTAAAACGAAATTGAAAATAGTAAATTATTACACATGAATTTGATTCTGAATAAAAATGTCTCCCTTAGCTATTTTCCCAATTTTCACTCCGCATACTAAATATCAGACTGACGATACATATTCAGCAGTGGTATTCTGTAAAAACAAACTCACTTTTCACCGCCGATCCGCCGGTGTGATTTGTAATTTATTTGAAATTTGTGTTCTAATTTTAAATCTCACCGCAGATTCTGAGATGAAATGATGAAGTGAGTTTGTTCTTACATAATAGCACTTCAGAAATCATTATACCTGTCACTTTCCTCGTTATGTTTAATACACTTACGTAAATTCAATCCTCATTCCGCTGTAGTAGTATGTGAGTTATGTATAATTCCGTTCCTCTGGTGTTAGTTATCAGCATTAATAATTTTGATTGTTTCACAAACACTTTAACAAAATTACAGAAATTTTACACAATTTCTCGTAATGCATCCTTCTCAATGTGTTCTAAATATAAAAACTCTGAGATTGCAGCACAACAAAAATCTGGCATCATTTTTGGTTAAACTTATCGCGTTAAACCACCATTACGTGTCGATAAAGGTTTTTGTCTCAAACAAAGACCAACACGAAGTTTAGATTTTTAAATAAATTTTCGAATGCTAAATTGGTGTGAGCAGCAGACGATGAAACTAAAGCAGACAGAGTCTAACCATGTGTGGGTACAGCAGACGATTACATGAGGTGTTTCGTCGCGGTCCACTACCGCTCCCACACTGCTATATACTTAGTCTATCCGACGCTACCGACACCGATCAAGAGATTAGTACAACAATTAGCTTACCCCGACTTACTATAACGTTAGGACCAATATTATGATGCTAATCGTCTAACGTGTAGATCGAAAAATCTGACCTAAAGTCGGAAGGATTCTGCTTCTTCCCCAATGCGCGTTCTTTACTTCCACTGGTTGGCCAACATTAATCCAAATAGTAAAGCTTTAGATTGTATCTAATCAGGTTAGCAGAAACTGCAATATATCTGAGTCATGCACCGTTATGCCTCCTTAGTAATAAGAAACGTTACAGACTGGGCATCAAATACTGTTTTTATTTCAGAAAAATTCTATTATTGGTGATGTGAAACGAATAAAAGCAAAAATACTACGTTACAAATTAAAATCCAGCTAGTGCACCATAAAAAATAACGTAAGTCGTAAGAACACGTTCAAAAGCAACATTCTTATTAGGGAGTGTCATTTTGACCTGATTTTGTTATTCTTATTACTTACACCAATAATAAATGTCAGTAATGATCTGCTTCGGAATATTTAAAAGCACTCGTAAAAGCGATGTTAAAACGCTGTATGGAAGTCGTGTGACGGACGCGCCGTTACTTTCAACCGGCAATACTCGGACAATAGGCTTTTTTCTTGCCTTAGTCACAGGAGCCACGAATCCTTGAAGTCGGTCAGGATGGGTGACTCATCAAACTCGAGGGTCACAGTTCAGAGCACACAATTAAGTTATTGTAACGTCGCTCGGTTGGCACACTCGGCTTAGTCACCCCTGCCTGCCAACATCGAAATACGAATGAGAAACCCGAAACCGCCTACGCGTATTTTAATTTATTCAAAAATTAACATCAACTGTTAAGAGGCTGTCACAAAGAGCTTTGAATATTAATTAAGAGCTTATACTAAATATTGTTACAGGATTATTATACATAAAATAACTAACGCTATGCTTGCTCCTTGGTAAATCATGAGGTAGATATAACTACTATATTTATTTCTTTGATTTTTTTATAACCTAAGAATACATAGTTTGGTCGAGCTTACAATAAAACTGTCTAAACTTTTAATATTTCTACTTGTTTCTATTAATAAACGCACGCCAATCATTTAATCAATCCATTCTTTATAAAACGGTTATGGAGCGCGATTTCTTTATTTCTTACATTAATCTTGACTAGCGGCGGCCCGCGACTTCGTACGCGTGGAGCTAATTATTTGCACATACTTTTTGACCCCAAAAGGGGGTTTATTTCTAAAGATACATTATTTGTACACCTCTACTATTCATAAAATAGCTAACGCTATGCTTGCTCCTTGGTAAATCATGAGGTAGACATAACTATTATATTTATTTCTTTGATTTTTTTTATAACCTAAGAATACATAGTTTGGTCGAGCTTACAATAAAACTGTCTAAACTTTTAATATTTCTACTTGTTTCTATTAATAAACGCACGCCAATCATTTAATCAATCCATTCTTTATAAAACGATTATAGGGCGCGATTTCTTTATTTCTTACATTAATCTTGACTAGCGGCGGCCCGCGACTTCGTACGCGTGGAGTTAATTATTTGCACATACTTTTTGACCCCAAAAGGGGGTTTATTTCTAAATCATCACATGTATCAATAGCGCATACATGTTCAATTTCAAGTCTCTTACTTCAAAAACATAGGTCTTTCATACAAACTTCCAAGTCCCGTATTACCCCCTTAGGGGGTGATAGCGTGATAATATGTAGCCTATATGCTGACCCAACTTCATAATAATATTCGTGGCAAATTTGAAGTAAATACATGCAGAACTTTTTGATTTTATCAAGGACATACATACAGACAAACAGACAAAAATTCTAAAAACTATATTTTTGGCTTCGGTATCGATTGTAGATCACACCAAAAGTATTCCTTTAAAAAAATATTCTATGTACAGTTTTGACTTTCCTACCATTTTATTATATGTATAGATATTACAGAAGAAAGACTACCAACTTGTGACCACGAAGTCTGTCCAGGAACCTCAATATATATGCAAAAAAAAACAATAAACCGTCCTTTTCACCGTTTAGGTAGGTGTTTTTATATTTAACTAGTGGCCACCCGCGACGTCGTCTGCCTTAACTTTAGTATTTTGATTTTTCTGAGATTAAAGTATCCTATGTCCCAAAGGCAATAAACTATATGCGTACCAAATTTCACCTTACAGAGCGTTTCGTAACAAACATACAAATTTTCGTTAGTAGTAGGAAGTAGTATAATTTTTTCTAACTCTCCATAATCTGGGGTAAAGTTGAGGGATTAAAACTGAAATAAAAAGTAAAATGCAATGAAGCATGGTGTCGTACGACCTATTGTTTAGTGTGTCCAAGCGGGCAACCGACCGGATAATGCGCTCTAACTGGGGCCAGCTCGGCTACGTGTCGAACGGGTTAAATCAATTTCTGAACCCATAATCACTTTACCTTTATGTCAGATGTCATACATATATTAGTAAAAGCGAACGTTATGTTGTAGTAGATTCGACACAAAGATTCGATTTTTAAATAGATTTTCGAATGCTAAATTGATGTGAGCAGCAGACGATAGCAGACAGAGTCTATGACCATGTGTGGGTACAGCGCACGATTACATGAGGTGTTTCGTAAAATTTTCTTTAGATTTAAAGCCCTTATTGGTTAAGTTATTCCGGAAAGTGTGACTATCTTTATTGACTACGAAAAATATATTTTTTATGTGAAATTTCTTTTACATATATCTAATTTCCGAAGAGGAAATCGTCGAGAGCCAAACCTCGAATTTTGAAATTTTTATTAGCAATTGTCAGCCTTAGCTACTGTTAGCCCTTTTGCAGGGTATTTACCAATTAATTTAATTTACCAATGCGCGACAGCAATAGTTTTTTTCAAATACATATTTCTCAAATGATTCTCAGCTCTCGCGTCCGATCTTAAAAGCTTAAAACGATATTAGGTAGGTACCTAATGCCAGCCGCATTCTTAACCCTCTATTTATTCTGAGATTATAACAAAAGTGGGCCAAAATGAACTGTCCAAATCGTCGGATGATCCGAATTAAAATCCAAGGGATATAGGTAATGAACTTCCGGACACACACGTAGAACGATTGTGATTGTCATCAAATCATTATGAATCCGGTTCGAACATGATGTGCGTGCACGCAATAATGACACAATTTATCCACTATTATAAGAATATATAAGAGCTTCCGATGTTTTTTTGTTTTATAATTTCTTTAACTTCCGCTCGGACTAGCAATTTATTGAAGCAACAAATCTTGGTATTAGTAGGGTTGACATTAAAATTGTATTTAAATAAATAAACGTAATTTTCTTTCATATTCTTAGTTGCATTTACGTAATTTCTCATAAAGGGTGATTAAAAGGGGGCAACAATATTTTAAAGCTCTAGCGACGTTCTTTGATTAGAATATTTCGCGTAAACAATCTTTTAGTCAGATTTCAGTTTTTTTTAATAGTTATTGCCTTTTTGCTTGCATTCTCTGCCGTCAATCGGATAGAAACATTGATAGCCAACTATTATATACCATTACCTAATAATATAATATATTTACGTCTTCATTTAAATAAATATATATTATCAAATCAGTATGTGTATCGTTTAAAAATAACATTTCATGTATCATTCATAAAATATGATAATGTCTAATTAAGGTTTTTCACGCCTAATAATTACAAATTACCGGTGGTTATGGATCAAAACAAAAGAAAGTGAAAGAAAGAAAAATGATTAGTGACACTCTCATAGTCACTTTTGGCAGTGAATTAGTTACACTCTTACAGTAACTTTTGGCAGTGGCCGGTCTAATGATGACATGACAATAGTTAACCTAGTACCTACCTAGTAGTTAACTACTAGGTAACCACTGACAAACCATTTTTCAAACTTCCTGGTTAGCTATGTTGACAGTCTTTAGCAAAATAAACAAGATTTTAAGGTCAAGCACTTAATAACTATTTCCCCATAATTGAGATTTTCAAATAAATCATAGGCTTAATAAATTTTAGATTTTTCTGTATGTTCATGTGATAACAACTGCCTACGACAACATTAATGGAATTTATACAATTGGCCGAGGCGTATCTGCCTGGTTATCTATTACGTGGAACAGTATGTCAACTGTGATATTAACAACCAGTCGTCTGCCAGCCAGCATGTCGTATTATACGAATAAAGTTATCAAACCTCAATATTTATATCGTTTTACAAAGTGATCGACACATAAATACATATTTACAATGTTATCGCCAGCAAAAACTATACTGATCGTGACGTTTCTGGTAAGTTTTAAATTTTATGTCTAAAATATTCCGACTTGATTGATACCGACATACGTTTGTTATTGCTTAATGTAATGCATCCCGGAGACGCATAACATGTGATTATGTTCTTAATATATTTTATTACCAGTAGGATACCTTTTATCTTAATGGCCTGGCATAGCCCACAAGTATGGTCTTTAAATGTTCTTTACCTTTAAAAACCAAGGAACCTTTAGGTGAACAAAAAAAAAACAACTCATTGTCCACTATCACCGTTTACAATACAATAGTTATCTATTGCCTATTTCGTATACGTTCTGTAGTGTGTTTTGATAATTTCTAAAAGGATAATTACAATAGTAATTATTTCGAGTTAAAAGTAAAAAAAAAAGCAGAGCTGTTTCCTTACATATGGCTTATACTGTATTTTGGACTGTACTTAAATATCGTTGGTACCTATGTGAATATTGGATAAAGTTTTTCCATTGACTCCCTTTAGGCAAGGGAACACAACAATGTTCTATTAGATCTTATAAGGAACGAACTGTTAACATATAGCAACATAGCAATTTAGTAATAATTGAAATTCCAGGATATGTTTGGTGTCGGTTTGATAATTCCCCAGTTGCATAACCAAGCGCAGCTGCTTGGCTGCAGCCATGTCCTCATCGGAATCATGGGGGCAATATACTCAGCTTCTCAACTTGTGTTTGGACCAATAATTGTGAGTAACTGCTTACATTAGATAAGATAAATCAATTAATAAATATATCTCGTGCTGACTGGTGTTGGTATACGAATGCTGATAGCAAAGATATGTTAGTGCCTAAACAAATAGGCTCCCGTTTATTCTTTTTTTATCAGTTAACTAGTGGGTGCCCAAGACTTTGCCTGCGTGGAAAAATCTATTAAGTAATTTAAGGATCTCGCGATCTTGGTGCTCCATACAAAAAATGAAAATATTTTTGCCTCGTTGCTTTGAAATGAATGTAATGTATTTGTATTATAAATATAACAATGGATTAAAATGTTAACCTTTCAGGGAAATTTAAGTGACTTAAAGGGCAGGAAGCCGACACTATTGTTCAGTTCGGCATTGTGCGGAGTTGCTTATATATTGTTAGGATTCACAACATCTATTGTATTATTCTTTTCACTACGATTATTTCTTGGTAAGTTTATATCATAAAAATATTGGTTTCTTATCAGACATTCTCAGTACCGCCCTTTTTCAGCGTAGCTTTATAAAACGACTAGCGGCCCGCCCTCGCTTCGCTTCGGTGTAGAGCTGAAGTGTAGACTACAGTTTTTGTTCTCAGGCTTGTATTATACACAATGACATTCATCTATGATTCTTCTTATACCTGCATGCAAAGTCTCAGCCCGATCGGTTTAAAATTGACAAAGTTTCATACAAAATTTCATTCCCTATTTTATCCCCTTGGGGGTCGAATTGATCAAAATCCTTTCTTAGCGGATGCCTACGTCATAACATCTACCTGCATGCCAAATTTCAGCCCGATCCATCCAGTGGTTTGGGCTGTGCGTTGATAGATCACTATGTCAGTCAGTCACCTTTGAGTTTTATATATATATAGATGACGCACAAATCTTAAATCTGCGCAAGTAAACGTTAACTACTCGTCAACAAACTACACTGAATAGGCACGATATTGATATTATTACGTGTGTTAATTATTTTGTGATTAAAATCAACTGTTGATTGTTTACGTGTTACATATTGTTTAAGTTTTATAATTATATTAATATATTCATAGGTACTTGTTTTTTATGAAAAATTTTACATTATTATCATTCATTAGAGAATTATATAAATATCTGTTTATTATTTACTTAAATTTTATTGGCTACAGTTTGTATACTACCTAACGTTTAATTGCTCATTTACAAATCTGCATAAATACCAAGGTAATCTTGTTAAGAAATAAAATTACGAGTACAATCTTGTCAAAGTGTATAATCTACAGAGATTTGAATTAATTCTTTTGTACTTACACTATTACAAATTTTCAGGTATCGTTAAACAGACGCAACTATTGGCAAAATCAATAGCACCGGACTGCGTGAAGGAGTCAGATGACCATTCAGCTCTATTTGGAAAGCTGTCAACGCTTTCTACAATGGGAATAACAGTGGGTCCCGTCATAAGTGGGCATTTGGTCGAGGCCTTTCCTGACAATGGATTTACCATAATTACCTTTATTGTCGCTACGATGTTTGCTATTAACACCTGTAAGTTAGCTTCTTTGCTATAATCCACAGATATTATAATTCTTACCGTAGATGAATTATATCAGTTTGATTGTGTTTTTAAAGTAATGAGAGTACAACGTAAATTGAGAAACTATAATAGAAAATATATTAAGTATATTTTTTAAGAATTTAACTATGAGATATTTAAATTAAAAAAAAACTAGAAAAATTAGAAAACTTGGAAATTAGCAACTCACTCTACTCATTAATCTTTATTTTCGATCTATCAGTAAGACAAAAAGCGTCAATGTAGGAAACTATTTTAAGTATATCTTGGGGCTGGGTGATTGTGATCTTCAGATTACATAACTAAAGGTAGATATTAGGAGCGCACGCACGGTACACAAATTGCGTGAGTAAGCAAATGCCAAATACTAAGTCTATACTAATAAAAGTAAAAACTTTTTGTCTTTGTTTAACAGTTTTTACAATGTTTGAACAAGTCGGCACAGTTTTGATAAAATCTTTATATTCACGGGACGTATTCACAACACGATGCGTTATATTGTACTGACGCGAGTTGATATTCGCTTTTGCCTTGATATTTGCTTTGGTGGCACGCAATCTGTATACCGTACGCTCCATCTGCATTTAGTTCTGTAATCTGAGCTATCATCTTTAATAATATGGTAATATTTATCTCCATATATACATTTACTGAACTTGGTCTTTGACAATGTTTTTGCGTTTAATTATGACCGAAGTCATTATTGTTTATGTTGCATCTTTACGTTTTTTACGGAGAAAAATCAGTTATATTATTGTTTTTTTTTCTTTTGCAGACCTCATAAATCAGTTACCAGATAACTCTAAAGACAGAAAACATGATGATAATAAAAACCAACGAAAAGAAATGGGTGTCGCTGCAAAACTTATCGACACTGTGAGAAGAAGCATACAGGAATCCGTAGACGATTTGAAAAAAGTCGACTGGGCGAAGTATTGGGACGTTTTTCTATTCAAACTCATTATTGGCCTTTGCATGGGAATGTACTTCAGTAGTTTTGCTGTCTTCTTGAAAACCGAACACGGTGTTACCCCAAAATATATAGGTTACATAGTAGCTTTCAAAGGTGCTGTCACTGCACTATGCTCATATTTTATTGAACACATAAACCGACTGTACAGAAATGATACTCATGCCATTCAGAGAACTTTTCACATCTTTATAGCTAGCACAGTGGCTTTTTTGGGCATGGGTTTGGCGGGTACACTGTCGTTGTACATTTTATTTGTTATACCTCTAGCTATAAGTAATGCTGTAAGTAGAGTGACTAATTTAGAGATGATAGTTAAAAGGGGTAATGATGAACACAGAGGATCCGTAATAGGAGCAGCCGCCAGTGTCAGGTCATTATCAGGCGTTGTAACTCCTCTCCTTTCAGGAGTTATAAGCGAGTACATTGGTGTTCCGTACGTTTTATTTTCCGCTGCTTTGTTTGCTGCTATCGGGGTCGTAGTAAGTTACAAGATAAGAACATCTTTAGATACAGATAAAATGAAGAGTGAATAATGATTTCTAATAAAATAAATTTAAGTTTGTGTATAAAAAATTAGTTGTAATTTTGTAAAAAGAAATACTGTGATCATTTTAAATTATTTTATTTGTTATTACGACTGTAAATAAAGTATTTTGTTAGAAATCTATGTATTTTATTATAATGGAACGTATACACTATTATGTACGAAAGTGTATCACGATAAGACTATAAATATTTATCGATAACATATTTAATATTTTTGTACAAGCAGTTGTTTAACGGTACCAGCATTCCTGCTGTATTATGAATATTATCGTGCTTTGTAAATAGCTAACTTTATTTTTATAATATAAGGCTCAAGGATGGCAGGCAGAGGGTGGCTAAATGGCACCTATTTTTTATCGTCTGGAAAATTGTTACGTATACCCCGTCTCCTGGGAGTGACGGCGGGATTATGTGCGATTTCTCTCCCTCTTCGCACCCACTCACTCAGTTAGCCTAAGGACTGGCTCAGCGGTTGCTAGAGAGGAAGGGGCCTACCTACTAAAAACCTGACGAAGCCCCTTACCTCACCAGCAAGCCGCGGTCTCGTCGGGCGGAAGATGCACCAACTGGAGGCATCGGAAGTCCTTACTGATACTTCCGCGAACCCACCAGTGAATGTCCTATTCAAATGAACCCACCCGTCTTCGAGATGCCCCGGAGCATCAGGGGCATCCCCGACCGTCAAAAGAGACCAGTGCAATGCAAAGCCCAGACACCCCAAGTCTGGACCCTGTTGGCCTCTGCCGAGAGGTGTTACGAGGCGGACATGATGCTTTCTCCTAGCTCCGACCCACTTCGGCGAAGAGAATCCGCATGAGCTCCTACTTCACGGAATTTCTCCGCTGCTTCCTTTTGTGAGATGACATGTTCAAAAAAGGAGATTACCGCCTGCCAAAATCTTACACTACCCAGTATAGCTTGGAGCATGCCGGGCAGGAAGAGCTAGTGCCCACACCACTGACGCAACCAGGCTGCAAGGGTGCTGATTCCACGCTGAACGCAACGGTAACGAATAAGCTAATAACAGAGTTAACAGGTGGCGTGTTGTAATTTCTCGAGATTTATAAAAAAGTAGGAAGGTACGATTAATCCGGGGGGTGGTCTGGATAAGTCCGGGTACTGATATTCCCCATTTTTCTGTACGCTGCCGAGACGTGGACGCTGAGAGAAATTGAGAAAAAGAAAATAGATGCACTAGAGATGTGGTGCTGGAGGAAGATGCTTGGAGTGAAGTGGACAGAGTTTCGCACCAATGCATCTATTCTCCAAGAACTCAGTGTCAAACAGCGTCTAACAAACGTAGTCCAGACTCGAATACTACAGTTCTTTGGGCACGTTTCACGACGGGACAACACGTCCATAGAGCGTCTTGTAGTACAGGGGAAGGTCGAAGGCACGAGGGCACGTGGCAGGTCGCCCATGCGCTGGACCGACCAGATCAAATCGGCAGTAGGCGGCCCCTTGCACGAGTGCACACGTAGCACAACCGACAGGGAAGGATGGCGTCGCATCGTGAAGAGGATTATGGCTGCCCGGAACCTGACCGCTACCTGATGACCACGACCGCTCTGTCAAGAGTGAATCGGCAAAGAAGAATGCATTAACAGTCCCCTATGGGTTTACCGTGTCTGTCCCGTAGAGGTCGGGGATGCTCTACTGGCAAACATGTCAGGGACCTCGGTTCTCGGGATGTGTGTCGGATGAAAGGTGTTGGAGTATATTGTCTTGTTTTTACTGTAGAAATAAAGGGATATTTTTTTTCACCGAGCCGATAGGCTGGGTGCAATGAGTGGGGAGAAGTTCACAGATACCTCCGTCGCGCTTCTTCCGGTGTGCGGAGAATGCGTAATACATTTTCCAGAAAAAAAAATGCGATTATTCCAAGACATACAAATTTCTGATATTAATCTATAACAGTAAGAGGTCGATAGCGGTCGTCTAATTAAAACGTCTATTAATAAACTAATTACAGAGCAGAGTGCAGGTGTAGGGCCGGAGCCGGGGTTCCCACGCGGTGTTCCTTCCGGGGCGGCGACCCGTGACGCTACCGTCTTAGCGCCTTCCATTGTTCCACTCTGAAAGAGGCACACACGCGATTTTGTGGGGCGTCTTGCGATATAAAGGTACTTCTTTTAAAATATACCAAACTGTATAAAGTTTCTACCTACTTAGCTTGGGCTAATGCTTTGTACAAGGTAGAATTCAGTTTCAGCATTCTGATTCACAGAACTTGGAAAGAGGTTTTTTGTTAAAAGGGGGGCAAATAGGCGTTTAGCCGGCATAAGCCACCATAGCCTATAGGATAGACGCTTGCGATACCACTCGCAATGCCTACCCTGACCCAATCCCCTACCCCGTGGAACCCTGGAACCTTACTCATCAACAGAAACACAAGACGGAGGCTCAATCCAAGGGGAAAATCCGCTATGCATGACCTCTCTTAAACCTCTGTATGGAATTTTGGGGTCCAGTAGGTGGACAGAATAGCTTGCGGGTCTGAAATCTTCCTAGATTTAATTTTCCACTACAAATGACAAACTGCACATAAATAATACTTATGTAACGTTCATAAAGGATTTAAATATAATACGTGTAGTTACTATGTCCTGACTTAACCCCATTAAGAAGTCGAGTTGTTGTGACCTGATCACAGACCCCTTTATTTGCATAACAGCCAAGTTCAGCCGAGCGGCAAGTAAGCCTTTAGTTTCGTACAATTACCGTGTTAGATAAAACGGAACGTTATTTTGTCAAAAACAGGTAAGTGAGGCAATTTATTATTACTTAACAAATTAACCGAACAATGAGGTGTGGTTAAGCCAATAAATACTTATTTGATAATACCTATATAATAAATTTAATAACCCTTAAGTCAATTGGACATTGCTTTTACCAACTGCATTAAAATGAACGTTTGCATCAGATTTTGTCTGCTTTATGCTTCTATATAAATGAATAATTCAGCATCATAGCTGATGATGCAGCCAATGCTTAGGCTGATGTTATCCATACATTTATAGAAATATCCCCACTTCTGAGGCACAGGCCTTCCCTTTGGATGAAATAGTCACATTGGGCCATGAAGCACCACCCATCCGATAATCGGCCATTGCGACAATTGCCTAACTTCCCGTAACCACTGGATTCATCGAGCTCCTCAAAATAAATCATAATTGATAACAAACATGATATGCTGATGAAAATAACCGTATAAAATTACGTAACGAGAGCGAGCTACATAACCAACTTCGCATACGCAAACCCAACCGTGTATTTAGTCCCCGTGGCCGGCTAGGGAAGTAATCTTCCTCATTCAAAAATTACTGTCTTTGGGTTTGTGTTGTTTCCGTCATTGTAAGGGTAAGCGAGTTAGGCTGCCATCGTTGTAGTTAAGCAACTTTGGCAGTGGCCGGTCATTAAATGGGTGATCAAAAATCTTCTATCTCGAGTTCTTTTGCCTGTGAGCTTAACATTGTTTGCCTAATTTCACGGGTAAAGGTTCTCAATGACTGCTTAGGTAGTTTTTTTTAATTCTGCCGGTGTTAATAGATTTCATTATCAGTAATAAACGCCGACTCGAGTAGGTAAGAAACCAAATTGTTAAAACAAAACTGGCATCGCTCTTTTTACATTTTGTTCTTTTTTCAAAATTAATTCAGGAAGCAAACGGCATAATGGCAAAAAAAATTGCAGTCTTCAAAATCACACACCACTTTTTGGAATATAAATAAAATAAAGAATTAAAAAACACCACGTTAACGATGAATTACCATAGCCTTTCCTGCTCGCTCAGCGTGTTAAAAATGGATTTCCATACGTTTTTCAAGCCCGCTTAGTAGTACAACAGTAATGAGGTCTTTTCTGCTTCATTGCTTAAATCAAGAATAAACCCCTTTCCGAGCAGATGTAGTATAAATACGATTGAATGCTAGACAGTTAAGTTTGTGCTATGGAATCCATATTAATTGTTACTCAGTAAAAAATGGCGGATACACAACATGTAACTTGACTGGGCAACAACACAATAAACGAAAAACAACAGTATCACAAAAATATATAGGATTATACCTATGACGAAAGAACTATTAATAGAGTGACAACACAGGTGAAATATATTTCTTTTATATTGAAGACTTTGTAATCATAAATCAATTTATTTCGGTTAAAAATATATTTGTTTCTTAGGTTTTCACGCACATCACTCATTAAATAAAACTAGTTTTTACGGGTTAATGCACGAAAACTTTATTTATTTATTGACGTAGTCTTTACAGGCAGTTCTTTGGGCACGTTTCACGACGGGACAACACGTCCATAGAGCGTCTTGTAGTACAGGGGAAGGTCGAAGGCACGAGGGCACGTGGCAGGTCGCCCATGCGCTGGACCGACCAGATCAAATCGGCAGTAGGCGGCCCCTTGCACGAGTGCACACGTAGCACAACCGACAGGGAAGGATGGCGTCGCATCGTGAAGAGGATTATGGCTGCCCGGAACCTGACCGCTACCTGATGACCACGACCGCTCTGTCAAGAGTGAATCGGCAAAGAAGAATGCATTAACAGTCCCCTATGGGTTTACCGTGTCTGTCCCGTAGAGGTCGGGGATGCTCTACTGGCAAACATGTCAGGGACCTCGGTTCTCGGGATGTGTGTCGGATGAAAGGTGTTGGAGTATATTGTCTTGTTTTTACTGTAGAAATAAAGGGATATTTTTTTTCACCGAGCCGATAGGCTGGGTGCAATGAGTGGGGAGAAGTTCACAGATACCTCCGTCGCGCTTCTTCCGGTGTGCGGAGAATGCGTAATACATTTTCCAGAAAAAAAAATGCGATTATTCCAAGACATACAAATTTCTGATATTAATCTATAACAGTAAGAGGTCGATAGCGGTCGTCTAATTAAAACGTCTATTAATAAACTAATTACAGAGCAGAGTGCAGGTGTAGGGCCGGAGCCGGGGTTCCCACGCGGTGTTCCTTCCGGGGCGGCGACCCGTGACGCTACCGTCTTAGCGCCTTCCATTGTTCCACTCTGAAAGAGGCACACACGCGATTTTGTGGGGCGTCTTGCGATATAAAGGTACTTCTTTTAAAATATACCAAACTGTATAAAGTTTCTACCTACTTAGCTTGGGCTAATGCTTTGTACAAGGTAGAATTCAGTTTCAGCATTCTGATTCACAGAACTTGGAAAGAGGTTTTTTGTTAAAAGGGGGGCAAATAGGCGTTTAGCCGGCATAAGCCACCATAGCCTATAGGATAGACGCTTGCGATACCACTCGCAATGCCTACCCTGACCCAATCCCCTACCCCGTGGAACCCTGGAACCTTACTCATCAACAGAAACACAAGACGGAGGCTCAATCCAAGGGGAAAATCCGCTATGCATGACCTCTCTTAAACCTCTGTATGGAATTTTGGGGTCCAGTAGGTGGACAGAATAGCTTGCGGGTCTGAAATCTTCCTAGATTTAATTTTCCACTACAAATGACAAACTGCACATAAATAATACTTATGTAACGTTCATAAAGGATTTAAATATAATACGTGTAGTTACTATGTCCTGACTTAACCCCATTAAGAAGTCGAGTTGTTGTGACCTGATCACAGACCCCTTTATTTGCATAACAGCCAAGTTCAGCCGAGCGGCAAGTAAGCCTTTAGTTTCGTACAATTACCGTGTTAGATAAAACGGAACGTTATTTTGTCAAAAACAGGTAAGTGAGGCAATTTATTATTACTTAACAAATTAACCGAACAATGAGGTGTGGTTAAGCCAATAAATACTTATTTGATAATACCTATATAATAAATTTAATAACCCTTAAGTCAATTGGACATTGCTTTTACCAACTGCATTAAAATGAACGTTTGCATCAGATTTTGTCTGCTTTATGCTTCTATATAAATGAATAATTCAGCATCATAGCTGATGATGCAGCCAATGCTTAGGCTGATGTTATCCATACATTTATAGAAATGTCCCCACTTCTGAGGCACAGGCCTTCCCTTTGGATGAAATAGTCACATTGGGCCATGAAGCACCACCCATCCGATAATCGGCCATTGCGACAATTGCCTAACTTCCCGTAACCACTGGATTCATCGAGCTCCTCAAAATAAATCATAATTGATAACAAACATGATATGCTGATGAAAATAACCGTATAAAATTACGTAACGAGAGCGAGCTACATAACCAACTTCGCATACGCAAACCCAACCGTGTATTTAGTCCCCGTGGCCGGCTAGGGAAGTAATCTTCCTCATTCAAAAATTACTGTCTTTGGGTTTGTGTTGTTTCCGTCATTGTAAGGGTAAGCGAGTTAGGCTGCCATCGTTGTAGTTAAGCAACTTTGGCAGTGGCCGGTCATTAAATGGGTGATCAAAAATCTTCTATCTCGAGTTCTTTTGCCTGTGAGCTTAACATTGTTTGCCTAATTTCACGGGTAAAGGTTCTCAATGACTGCTTAGGTAGTTTTTTTTAATTCTGCCGGTGTTAATAGATTTCATTATCAGTAATAAACGCCGACTCGAGTAGGTAAGAAACCAAATTGTTAAAACAAAACTGGCATCGCTCTTTTTACATTTTGTTCTTTTTTCAAAATTAATTCAGGAAGCAAACGGCATAATGGCAAAAAAAATTGCAGTCTTCAAAATCACACACCACTTTTTGGAATATAAATAAAATAAAGAATTAAAAAACACCACGTTAACGATGAATTACCATAGCCTTTCCTGCTCGCTCAGCGTGTTAAAAATGGATTTCCATACGTTTTTCAAGCCCGCTTAGTAGTACAACAGTAATGAGGTCTTTTCTGCTTCATTGCTTAAATCAAGAATAAACCCCTTTCCGAGCAGATGTAGTATAAATACGATTGAATGCTAGACAGTTAAGTTTGTGCTATGGAATCCATATTAATTGTTACTCAGTAAAAAATGGCGGATACACAACATGTAACTTGACTGGGCAACAACACAATAAACGAAAAACAACAGTATCACAAAAATATATAGGATTATACCTATGACGAAAGAACTATTAATAGAGTGACAACACAGGTGAAATATATTTCTTTTATATTGAAGACTTTGTAATCATAAATCAATTTATTTCGGTTAAAA